TCATTAAAAAGCTCCACCACACTGTTACCGCCTCACTGAGTATGACTGATCAGAAATATTTATAATAGTTAATAATAATAAGGATTCCCTTATCCGTCCGAACTTTTGCAGCATTATAATATCAATTTGCTCACATTCCAGCACTTTTTATGTGTTGTTTTGCAAAATGTATTTTTCATATAAGGTAAGAGAGTCTGAACTTCTGAGTAAGACAACAGCGTGCAAAGCAATAAGGAGGGTATTCCTGGCCTTGAAAGGGTTTTTTCCTGCCTTGGGAATAAACCCATCAGATCCCTTAAGCAGGAATTCCACTGGATTGTAGGTGAATTATCTGTTAGATTCATATCAGATTATAATCTATTAATGACACTGATATTTTAATGATACTTGACAGTGTTGGTTGAAAACCTCTTCCAGCGTGCTATTGGACACCATTTCTGTTAAATATTCTCATAATGGACGACAAATTCACAGGTTGAGATGAATATCAGCACATATTTAGCTTTTGTTTCAGTTAATTTTAATTCTGAAGCTGCAAAACGGGACATAAAGAAACACAATGTGGACGGTCACATGACATCTCTTCTTTGCAAGTAGCTTCTTTCTTTTTTAAATAGAGGGAAAAATCATCAAGCATTTTTTCATTTAATCCTCTCCATCAGCACTGTGTGTGTGTGTGTGTGTGTGTGTGTGCCCATTTAAAACTTTCTAGACAATATTCAGTTTTTATTTCAACTAACTTGGGTCGCTCAGGAGGTTTCGGGGTTCTGAGACTAGCCGATGCCCATCTTCACATGGACAAAATGGGGGAATATTCACCCTCTGGGGATGTCTCCAAAGAGTTATACCAAGTACTTTCTCTGAAGTACTGCTGCACTAAGCGCTGTGCTTCCTGAAGGTACCTGTACTATTGCCACAATAGTACTGCCTGACACATACCTAAAGTGTCAATACTCTTTTCTAAAAGTAACCCTGTACCATTCTCCAATAGTTCTCTAATAGTAATTTAGTCCACCACAGACTAATCTCAGGCTGCTCAGTCTCCAAAGAAACCTCTCCAGAAAGCCACAAGAAGAAACAAAAAACAACACAAATTTGAACCAGTTTAAATTCTATTTTGGTTTCTATTTTATCCTAACCTCATTTTAACTGTTGTGCACATTTATTCTCACCACCTTAGTCCACCTCCACATGTCCCAGCTCGATCCCAGGGCTGGTGCCAAACTGTTGTGGAAATGTTATTTTTAATCAAGAGTCTGAGTCCGTCTGAGGAGGTAATGAATAGAAATTTATTGAAAGGGAAAAACTCATATTGTGGGAGAACCAGCGAGATCATACAAATTTCATACGATGTACCCAGATGCTCTGAAGCAAAACAAAATCATGATAGATTTAAAACCCTCCCTGAGCAGGCAGCAGGGGGGTGTTGAACCTCTGACCCACACACTTCTTCCCTTAGCTCAGCAGCCAACACATTTAATGAAGGCTGTCTTCTGTCTAATGTCATCACAACGTCGGTAGTCCTCAAGACAAAACATGTTATTGAGATGTAAGAAATGACTAAATATCCCTTTGTCCCGAAATCTAATCACATGAGGAAAATCCCCATCGTACAGAACAAATAGATAATATTTACAAATGTTGCTTTTCCATCACATATGTCTTTCAGTCATACTTACTTCCTGCTTCTGAAGAGTGCAGATGTGTTATTGCTTTACTGTTTTACTTGCTTTTAAATCGTTCGACTTTTTTCCACACTACTGGCTTTTCTACAGGCTTCCTGTCACTTAAACAGACTTTAAAAAAGCTCTGCTTTTGTTCAAGCGTCTTCATGTATGTAAGAGCTGTAGGAACCAGCTCGGACTATGAGAACCTCAGGTTCTGGTCTCCTGCTGGGGCCCAGAGTCAGAACCGAACCGGGAGAGGCTGCGTTCCTGAAGAGGACTCTGACGATGTTTACATCCAGGCTGAAAACACTTCTGTTTAACTGTGCACATGACAGCTAAATGTACTTTATCTGCACCCTTCACTTTGAACCTATTCAACCAATGACTGTTTTTATTTTACTGTACTGATCCAGAATGTTTTGCTTTTAAACCCTGTGTAAAGCACTTTGAATTGTACACAAATACATTTGCCTTGTCTTGCCAGTAGGATGCCCCCATTCTCTGAAGATGACTGCTTGAATCTCCTTTAAAAATTCAACATACTGGAAACCAAAATCCAACGACTAGTGGTGAATGTGGAAGTAAATGGAATATGTAGATATGATACAACTTTACCTCTGGCTAAACATAGTGGACACAGTCCTGCTGACCGACAGCTAACCAGCTCCAGCAGGGCTGACAGAAAACGGGCGGGTGTTGCTTTGAGTAACAAATCCTGCTGTAATGTCTGGAATGTGCTCGGTGCGAAGCTGAAGAATTACACATCTCACAGGGAGAAGTTAGAACCAGCCCTGCCTGGTGACATCTGGGCTGCCACTGGCTGGCCTGCACTACCAACCAGACCAAAGCTTTGTTCCTCAGCCGTCAGTAGCAGGACCAATTTGGGCAAAAGTGGAAAAACAAAAAAGAAGCCTCTACCTCCTCAAACAAACACCACTGCAGAACAGATTTGCTGGGCTATGGAGCTTCTCCTTCTGATAACTGGACATAGTCTCTTCAGACAGCAAAGCAAACTGGAAAAAAACTCAGACAGTAGAAGTCGAAGAGGGAAGCTGAAGCCTAAACCTGAGACTGATGGCTGGTGGTGCTGCAGTGAAGGATGTAAGATACAAGTGTGGGAAACATACAAAAGTACTGTTCTGTCCAAAGGACACGGTGTCAGACGACAGGCTGCACATCCAGCTGTAAACAGCCTGGTATCACATGTGGGATCTAACAATGAGTCTGAGCTAAAACAGGACCTCCAGAAGCTGTTTGACACCGTTAATCCTCTGGACACTGAAGGGTTAAGCAGTGGCCCTTTGGACAAATGTGAGGAGACATGAGGTTCAGCGGCCTGAACAAATGGCTGTCAGCTGTGTCTGCCACAAACTAGTTTAGTCATTAGTTTTACTTCCGTTTTTCTGGGACCACAGACAATATTTTACCGCAGATGGTCTGCCTCAACAGATCTGGAGTCAGGCTGTTTACAGACACTTTTTTCTATGTTCTGAGGTCCCATTCTGCTTTGTTGGACAGAGATATAATGAAGCAAAAAGAAGAGGATAAAAGATGTTAAATCGAACTTTCGATTACTATATGTAGTACATTTTAAATCTAACCTTCTCTAATCTTTACTTATGAATGCATAGTTACTATTTACTATCTAATGTGCTGATAGTGATTTTTCCAGGCTTACCATTCGAAGTTTGTACTTATAGGCTGCTTTATGAAGAGTAAGAGGTAAAGTCTTTAAATGTGTCTGGGAATTTATGAATCTGTGAACATTTGCAGTCTTACTGATACACTGTCCTATGTAACTTTCCATACAGAGATTATTATACATTTATTAGGCAGATGAGTACTGAAAAAACAAAAAACTCATACATTTACCCAAACTGTAACACATGTGGAACACATTTAGCTTCCTAACTGCTAATCGACCAGCTGCCCCCCCCCCAGCTATTGGAATGTTTTTAACATGAACAACATCACTGATTGTAGGTTGACCTGAGCACGCAAGCTACTTCCAAGATTTGACTTGCCAAAATTTGGTAGCTGCATTTAAGAAAAGCTGTTGAACCATCTGAGTAGCATCAGCAGGTCTTGATGCTGTTAGCTTTTTGCTTGGGGCGCAGATTAGCCACAGTTCTGGTGCTGTTGTGACTGCTGCTGTTCTCGCTGACGGCTGAGAACTCGCTACTTTTCTCCATTAAGTTGATCTTGCCTTGCTCTTCTTTCATGAAAAGGTCAACCAGCAGAATCTTCTCCTTGTGGATCTGCATGCTAATATCTTTGGGGATGTCTGGGATGAGCCAGTCCACAATGTCATTCATCAGCATCACAACATTCTGCCGGGGAAATAACATAAAAGGTTAAAAATGAGTGAAAAAGACATTTCCCCTTCTTGGAATTCATAATAACAATATTGCTTAATGTCAAGCGAAGCCATATATGACATATTATAGAATGAGATGTGTGATTTACTGAATCCTATTTACTTCAGCCTGATGATGAAGTTAATTTAAATGAAGTCTGTTGGCCAGTCAATGAAGATGCAAGGTTTATTGAGTGAAATCACCACATAAAACAACCACCCACAGATGTGCAAACTGCTTCTATGCACATGTTTCTATGAGGGAACTGGACGACAAAATGTGCGAGCTCTCTGCTAATTGCATTTATAAAATAACATATATATTCTTCGAAGTGTTTGGGAGAGTGATGGTGTATTTAAGTTATGGTGAACAATAAGACTGATGAGGATTCTTTGTGGGAAATAAAGCTTACAAGACATCTTTACTTCTACATTTTATTCCATAAACTTTCTCTCAGAGATGACCGCCCTCTCCTGCTCTCTATTTGAATTACACCCTTGATCTGGTGTTGACTAATGGCATTGAGAGTGAACAATTACACTTAAAAAGTAATTATTTTCTCATAAAACTATTTTAGAATGAATCCATAATCACCTCACTGTGAAAACACAGCAGAGGACATCTTCCCAAACCCAAACCTTCTTCCTGAGAGAATTTCAACACTGAAATATTGGATTTCATTAATCTGCATTTCCTGTCAGCTTTTCAATCAAGGTCTCTGTAATAAAGCCTTTACTTAAAAATAATCATGGTCCAAGAGTGTTAGCGAATAATAAACTTCTTTGTATCTGATAGAGTCTATGTTTGTGCTTTTGGACCTCAGAGAGACTTGATGGATCAAAGCCTTGTGTTACAGAGACTCAAGTGATTAAATGAACTCCATTGGTCTGGTCTAAGTCATATCCATCACGTTACTGTTTATACACACTGGAACAAATTTGCTTTATTCAGCTCAGGAGTTGAGGAGATAACTTCAAGCCCTTCCTGGAGGATCCTGGGGGTTTTCAGGCCAGAGGGGTTATATAATCCCTCATACAAGTTCCAGGGGGCCTCTTCCCAGTTCATGTGCCCGGAAAACCTCCAAAGGTATGAACCAGGAAGCATTCCCACCAGATGAACCCTCTCAGCTGGCTGCTTTATCTGAAGAACCTACTACGAGCCCCCTCTGGAACCCAGCCACACTTTGAAGCTAACACATATAACATATCAGCAGTTTTCATCCACCACCTCAGTTTTTGGGTCACTACTCATACCTGTGACTAAAGGTAAGGGTTGGATAATTGGAGGGTTGGAAATTAGATAGTTCTATCAAAGATACAAATCATAATTGTATGTCTAAAGGTTTCTTAATAAAGATAACATTGTGTTTTCATCTCACCTGGAAAACAATGACGAAGGCCAGCCGAACAGCCAGAACTGCCCAGAACTCCTTTGAAATCTCGTAAGGTGTGGCTGACCAAGGTGGTTCTCTGTAGTCCTTGTACCTTTGATACATAATAAATCAAGGGAAAAAGTGTAACAACAAATATTTCTGCAAACTCACCTAAGGTAGCCACCTGGTTTTAAAGGCTAACTCAAACTTCGTTCTATTTCTATGCTTCCTTATCCTGGATGTCTTCCATGTCTCTCACAGGTCTAAGTTCACCCCCTGCTGGGCCTCCAGCCACTTTTGCTTCTTCTAAATCAAATCCACAGACCTGATATCACTGCCTTGTCTCATTTGTCTTTCACTACTTTCCTCGCATTCCGTCCACTCAACAACGCAGACTTTGGAGAGAATCTTCTACTTCCTGCTTCCATAAATCTGAACTTTCCATCCTCTGCTCTGCTTCTGCCCCCTAACTATACATTCCTTAGCTTCTTCATTTCAAATGCTTCTTCTACTTAATTGTCCCAGGGAACACTCATTTCTATGAGATAGACTCTCTTTCTACCATCCTCTTAGGCCTGTTGGGACTATCTCAAGGGGAACAACAAGCTTTCCTACCTACCTACCTACCTACCTACCTACCTACCTACCTACC